AGCAGCAGCACCACCACCACCAGCATCACGACAAGTATGATATCTCGGCCAACATCAATGCGCACTGCTTGACCCATAGCAATTTGGCCCAGGCGGCGTCTTACAAAAACATCATATTCACATGTGCTGGTCTTCTACTGGACCAACATGGTTTCGCATCTGTGCTCACCCGAGGGTTTTAGCCTTTGGCCATGTGGCGTCAAAGAACAGAGCCTGCGCACGACGGGTAAGGAATCATGGCGAGTGATGACGATTGCTGCCAATGGTGTTGATGGGTCTATGCCAGATCTCAATCCTGAACGCGCGGAAAGTTCACAAGCTCCTCCAACGCCTCACTTCAATTGATCAACCTCTGAAACCCAACTACTCCAAGTCGCGTTGAAGGTCACATTGTTCGAGCTTAGCCTTGGATTCTATGCATTGGGCAAGGAGAGTATGTTCCCTTTTCGTCTGCAGGGTTGTCTTGAGTTGATCCAAATGGTCAGGTAAGACGTTCACCGTCAGCTCTTATCGTTGCATAGAAACATATTATGAAACCCCAAACCCTACAAGAATATTAAGACAATCCCCAAATCAGCAGTTGTCAACTGATGCAGACAATGCTACTACTTGCGATCTCGAACGAAAGCGTAGAACTCAAGCCCAAATTCAAACAACAAAGATACCACAGACCATTCTTTCAAGGCAAGAAGCTGTTGGTTCAGGAAGCGGCGAAGCGCCGAGGAACCTCAGGTGACACCCTGGAGAGAAGATCTGCAGCTGAGGCGACTCGGAGTGCTCCAGTTGACACGTGGATCTAGGGTTTATACTGCCTGGCAATTGAGCTTTGAAGTTTGGATCAGGATTTGCGTCTGAATTGGATACAAGGTTCTGATGGTTAGGGCATTTGAACAGAAAACGGCTCGACAATGAAAGCTGTGTTGCCGGAAAAACTGTCAAAGGCTTGCGGACACAGGCTACACCAGGTAGCCAGGGCTCAGCAATATTGTGATGGCAGGAGTATGGATCGAGCTATGCAACAAGATGCAACAATTGCAAGTACGGTGGGGACGTGTGTACAAAACCATGGTGAGCGCACGACCGCCCAGAATCTCGCATGCAGTGCACAACATGACACTGGAAGCTCCCAGACCCCCAAAAAGCTGACCGGAACACCTGGTTCCACACACGCTGACGCCGGGCAGCTTTGGTATATCCTGTCCGTCAAGAGGTTCACGGGCACCGGATAGATTCCTGAGTATGAGCATAGACATGATCGGCATAAAGCTGGTCGCCAGGAGATGCACCAGTCGTCATGATCACCAACTTAGAATCATGACCAAGGACGCATGCTGAACAAACTGAGGTTGGTATAAACTTGCAAGATTATGGCAATCGTCGGCCACGTGCGTGACCAAGGCATTTGGGCATGGCCTTGCTTCGAGGTTTCACTCACAGGTCATACGACTGGGTGCGCGAGGGGAAAACTGTAGATTGCAGCTTGGGATTTGCTTCCTTTTCAACTCGACAGGATGGCGCAGCACCCTATAATTAGCCGTTGCAGCCGGTGCCTCATCCAAACATGTAAGCGGCCAGTCATCTGAGTTCTTCTGGCAAATCGTCATCTGTGGTAAATTCGGTGTTGTTGGCACTATGGCGAGAGTGCGTGTGGAGCGCCGTTCCAGCGTGACGCTCCGAAGATTGATTTCTAAACTTCTAAACCTGGAAGCCTTAGTCGCCCGCTCTCGTGCAGCCCTTGCTACGGATGCTTCATTGACAGGGCGAAAGCCGGAAAGGCTAGAATGCTGCCGCTAGGTATACCTTGTGATGGCAAAGCAGGCCGTTACAGAAACTTCCGATCCCTTGTGGACGCCAACATCATACAGTACGGCTGACAGCAACAACTGCTGCCGTGATGCTGTATCGCGCCTCGAAGGTATCTTCCTGATGCACAAAGCCAACACTCAACACTTTAAAGCAGAAACCAAAGAACATCTCAGAGAGAGGGGGAGAGAGAAAGGCCTGGCAGTGCATCAGACTGCAGCTTCCACGATTAAGCAGGTTTTGCAAGGGCTTCAGTACTCCAACGTATTGATAGCCCCGGAACCCGGGTGTAGAGGCCTAACTAATTCCACGAATCAGGGATTTTGTGTTTTACACTCGAGACGTACTCTTAAACTACGACGTAATTTTCAAGCTTCTATATTGCAGATGCGAGGTCGTGCATGTCTACTTCGAGCCGCTTAAGTTGTCAGGTTAGAAAAAATTAAACAACTGTCGTTTACAAACTTATGTCTACACCGCCGGAACACAAGGATGGGACCTAGAAAACACAAAAAAAAACTTGCCAGAGAGGAGGAAGACGGAAGGGAGGAAACCCAAGAGCACCTGCGGCAAGTTCCCGTTGAACGTGCGGAAGAAATCGGCGATCGTGACAGCGTCTGCAGCCAGGGAATGCATAGCGACCATGACGGTCTTCAAAGCCTCCTCGCGCTGGATCTGTTCTTGAACCAGGGTTTGGCGGTTTGAGTATAGGGGCCTGTCTGAGGCCTCCAACATCTGACAACCCTACCCCTATTCAAATCAACGCCCCGGTGCACCAGCATCCCGGCACGTTATTGGGACTCGATTTTTGGAATACCTGCTCGAAATGACTGATTTCTCGTAATGCTAGGTTCTGTGCCATAACCCCAAGTTGAACCATGGTGACGGTCATGGCTACACGATCGTGCACCATGGGAGACCAACGGTGATGACCAGCATCGGTCGTCATCGAAAGCTTATTGATGATGCATCAAAGTCCAAGGTTGCCAGAGCTCCTCGACGATAGCTTCGCTTGCCATTACCTGGTTCGAGAGGGCAGTTAAATGCAAGGGGAGGAAGATCTGAATGCGGTATGGATGCAAGCATACAGGCAACTGCATAAGCCTAACCCCTGAAACCCTGAACCCTCCTTGAGGACACCCACACTCGTCTCATGTGCCATGTGCTGCACGGCATGAAGCTCAAAGACCGAACAAACGCGAATTCCGGAGCCCCCCTGTATCTCAAAGCTGTATTGCAAGCATCATCAAGCATTGCCTATATCTTCTTCCAGGTTGTCGTCATACGACCGTATGCTCAAACGCTGTCTTCAGGTATCAAAAAGTCGCAATGTAGCGCACAATTGCGTAATGTACCAAACACTGTCCAACTATGTGCGAGACTATACACCTCAAAGGAACATGAATATATATATATATGCCGACTATGGTTGAATATTGCACCCCCATCTGAAATACTGTAGCTGAAGACTGAGGAGCAAGTGGTGGATGGGTCATGTTGAATTGGATCCATCCTTCCATCCTGAGTCCATATCAGGCAAGCTTCGTCAAGTGTGGTGCTGACCTTCCAGACTGCATACGGGACTTGACAACCCCAAACAGCTTCACAGTTGGCGCGCAGCGACATTCCGCAGCTGCAGGTGCGAAGATGATGAGACGACATATGAAGTTACATGTCGCTGTTAAGGAATGTATAGCATGTGCAGATCGGCTGCCTCGGGTTACGAAAGGCCGCATCATTTTGATGCGAATCTTTGCTAACAGCCGGAGCAACCCACCTGAAAACATGAAACCCTCAAGACTCGCGCCCATCCTCACTCCCGAAAACCCAGAGACAGCCAAGACTCGAAGTTATACGAACAAGAATCCCAGCTAATACTGCAACCGGAGGTGAGGAGCAGCAGCAGTAGATGCTGCAAAGCATCTCTAAGCAGTCGGCATCTTCTCCGCACTCGTCCACAACCCTCCGAGGGTTGAGCAGTCCAGGGCTGAAGGCTTAGTGCTTCGCTTGCAGTGAGATGACTATACCCTAGGGCTCCAGTTACCTAAATAGTAGGTTACTGGGGTACATATTATATGGTTAGTAACCCACTGTTTAGGTAACTGGAGCCCTAGGGTATAGTTAACAATCAACGCGGAACCTGCACAAGCACGCCAGCACAAAAGTCAGATGCTGCATCCACACTCGATGCAAGTAAATGCACATTCTGCAGACACACCTATGAGCTCCCGACAATAAACCTGCAAGTTCCGGCGGGTTAGAAGGTAGCGTTCCACGATTACTTCCTCTGAAGCGATACTCTAAACTCAAAACCCTAGAAACCCTAAAAGCCCTAAAGCCGTGGAAGCACTACTTGGCTGCGTCTCGCAATCCAGTTCAACCGGACGTCAGATTCGCCGTTGAGGGCCGCACGGATGAATGCACTCACCAGTTAAAGCTGCAGTCAACTATAACTATAATAACATACCGCACTATTACTATGAGGTAGTATGATCTACGATAATATCCTCTGACATGGCTGTGATGCCTGTAGGATTCAGGGTTGCGGATACAGGTTAGCTTTCTGTATCGGATTGCAGATGCCACACCAGTAGAAGCAGCTGCGTCGTCCGGTCAAGCCACCGTGGGAGTGGAGTGGAGCCCTCAACTTCCCTGACGGGCCCCAAAAGACTCAGAAACACTGGGCCTCCGAAGCCCAAAGCCGAAACACTCGAATTCCCTGGGACAGGGCCTCCATGCTAAAAGTCCCGGCACTATGCCGGACAACAGTGCTGCTAAACCATACGGGCTAGGCTTTAGAGGTACTTCCAAACTTCTTAAAGAAGGAAAGATCTGTGAAAGCTAGCTGGTGAACATCTGCCTGAAGCCCTGAGCTGTGCGACAGCCACTTCAAGCTGCATCCCTCAGCTTACTCGGCTCCCTGAAAGTACGAATCATCTAAAGCTGTGCGCGAGAAAAAGCACCTGCAGTTCTTGGTAGGGTGCGGCGCCCCAACCTGATACCTGAACATGACAAGCGATTGGGCGCTTATAAACCTCGTTTGTCGGAGTGACGAGACACACAGCCGCAAAGGCAGGCAATATGAGACACACACACACAGACGCACGCCATCCCAACCAACCGATCAATGTACACACACACACACAAACACGTACAGAGGCGCACGTGCACAAATGACGATGCAACAGCATGAATACTTACGAGTTCCCATCTGATGCATAGCCCCTCCTCTTAAATTCCTCTGTCTTGATATCAGCTTCAGACCTCGTCCAAGGGTCTCTATGCTAAGGGGCTTTGGTTGGGCCTATGGGCTTCGAGCTCTCAGGAGGTTTAGACTCAGGGTTGAGGACCCTAACCGCCCTAACCCCAAGCCTTAACATGCCCAACTGGACAACATGCAGAATCTCAGGCATCCTTGTTCGGATAGTGGCTGAGAGACAGTCTCACCGAGTCTTCCAGTCATCTGAGCATATGGTAGTCTATGGCTTCAAACTCTGCTTTCAAGGGTTCCATGGGGGTGTGCATAACAGGGCTCCTCAATTCAAAAACTTCTCTCACTCGCGGCACCAGAAACAAGAGTACACTAAAGACTCCAAAGGAGTCATGCATCGTCAACACACCGTTTCGGGACGCCTCCACATGTCGCACTCCTCCTGGACAGTTTCAGCAGCACAAGCCTGCCAGAAACAGCATGAATAGCTACGAACCTCCATCCAAACACAGAAACACGGCAATGCATGTAAGCACTTAGGCAGGTAGGTAGGTAGGTAGGTAGGTAGGCAGGTAGGTAGGCAGGCAGGCAGGCAGGCAGGTAGGTAGGTAGGTAGGTAGGTATGCATGTACATAGGTATGTCAGGTATGTATGTGTACAAAAATATACATTCACCTACATGCGTGCTTGTGCTTTTAGATGCTGTTGTGTTCGTCGGATTAGCTTATAGTTGAATGGGCATGCGTAAACACGATTGTAAATATAACTGAATAGGCAGAAAGTAGTACATCTACATATATACATGTACATGCGTGTGTGCAGGCAATCTGCAAAGGGCCATGAAGAATCGAAGGCTGATTATGGACACAATGGATCCGGTGCGCAGCCGCTGATCCCTTCCAAACTGAGGATCCTCAGCCTACACCCCCCTAACCCCCACGAACACAAATTCTGCGTGGAGTAACCGACGAACCTGTTAAACAACTGAAAACAGGGCAGTCCTCTTATGAAACACCCTAGCTGGTTCCTCCAGCTAAGACTTCGACAGGCCAGGTGTGCCCGCGCAAAGACGTGTCCGGGTGGTTTAGCTTCGTACTGTTCGCACTTGATGGAGCGCCACGACCAGATGCACGCCTTGCAAGGCTTATCCGCCAAACCGCTGCTTCAGGTATGCTCACGCAAGCACACACTTAACAGCCCTAATTACAGGGAACGAACGTTTCGAACCACCATGTAACTTGATTGGTGCGAACCTTGGGTGCGCAGTTTGATAATAACGAGCGAAATTGCACAACTAACGACCTCCTATCGTTCCGAAGCCGTGACGTTTAAGACTCGAGGAAGCGGTTTCCGGCGATGGAGCTTAGGATGAGCTTTCGGCATGTACATTCGCATGTACTTGGGCCGACCAATCGAGGTTGGCGTCTGTGCCTTTGGACATAAAAGTCTTGGGAATCTTTTCGATCATTACACTTCTTGCCCAAGATTTGAAACTGCTTCAATTACACTTCTTGCCCCGGTCTTGAAACTTCTTCAGTGGCTGCATCTGGGCTCGCTGACATGTTTGCAGAACTCCGAAGGTTGTCCGCTTAAGCTTTCAAACTTGTGAGGCGTAAGGCTGCGAAGTTGAGGGCTCGGGGGTTTCGGGATAAGACACGTGGAGTGAACCCCCAAAGCCCTCCGAAAAACATTCTCAGATGAGATCCTGTGAGACCCGATAAGGGAAAGTGTAAAATATGCCGCTGGCCCTGGAAACCCAACCAACTCTCTAATACAGGACTCGGAATACGGAACACTTCACACTAGTGCTGCCTGAAACTGTATTCTATAGTATAACAGTACTGCAGCATACTCCGAAACCCAAGTCCAGTGGTTTAGGCCTCTACATAAACCTTAGCAACCCAAAGCAGATCGCAAAGCGCGGATTTGCCAAGTGCCGAGATACATCTGGTGTCGAGGGACTTTTGCCTGTGCAAAACTGAGGTTTTACGAGCTTCGGGTTTCGGGTACTAGTGTTTCTGTGTGTGTGTGTATTGAATGTATTGTACGTTAGAAAGCGAACGCAGCTGCTCATGCGAACATCTGTGGCATCATGCAAAACACATGCACGCAGTCGGCCTACGGCCTACATCTTGTTACACATACACAAACACAGCTGAACACATGTGCACGTGCATGCGAAACTGTTCTAAGCCCTCCTATGATGCAAGCCACATCCCTCCGAAGTGCAGCAGCGAGTGGCACTTGTCCGAGGCATTGAATCGGGGACAAGACGGAAATATCGTGCCGACGCCCACCTTGGCATGCGGAGTCGTAGATTTAGGCTTCAGAGCTTCAGGGCTTCACGTGTAGGAGAAATCATGCCCACATGGCTTCGGGGACGCTGCGTTCAGCTTTGGACATACGCAGGTTCTTTCCGTTCAAGATCGCCTTCGACCTCGACTTCTGCTTCGGATTACCTGCTGCGCTCGTGCTCTGCCGCTGAGAACTCCCTAGCGTGAAGTGAATGGGCTCTTATGTGCTTCCGTTCCACCCCAAGGAGTCTTGAATTGCTAAAGCTCTGCACCCACATTGCCATGTTTTTGAATCCCCTCACGTCTGGAAACGCCCAACTTCTGACATAGATATCAGATATCCGTCTCGTGCACACGCCGAACGTCTCTGTCCATGGTGCTCGAGATGGGTGAAGCTGCGTAGGGTTGGAAGACATTGCGCATTAAATCAGTTTCGGAAGACCCCGTGTATGTGACCTGCAGTGCGGTCTGAACACTTCCATAATAAAAGTACAAGCAAGAGTAACAGTACACAGTAAACAGTAAATAGCAAAAGGTGATGAGTTAGTACCGAATAGCAACACTCGAAGAAACAGTAGGGGTAATCATAAGAGTAAGAGTAACGGCAAGGGTAGGTGTCATAGCCACGGCAATAGCAATCGTAGTCAAGAGTAGTAAACGTAAGAGAGTAAGAGAGTAACAGCAACAGCAATAGCAAGAGCATTAATGACAGTGACAGTGACCGTAATAATGTGGTAATGATCTTGCTATCTGGATTCTTCCTGGATTCGGCATTGAAGTGGCAAACCTGCCTGATGGTCTGCCACAATCGGTTCAAGCATGGTCTTACTCTGTTGACCCACCAAAATATCCGCCGCCGCTCTTTCCGCACGTTGTTTTGTGTCGAAACGCGTGTTTCGTGTAGGTAGAACGCTTGCTTTTTTGACTGGGTTTTTTCTATATATTTATGAATTAAAAGAACGCTATGTTTTCGAGGTTTCTGCACGCGTGTTTCTTGCTATCTATTGGGGTGCTTTTTCAGCCCAAAACCATCTCTCTCCTAGGGAAAAACTTGGTTTTGCAACAGAAAACCAACCTGTTTCCTAGGGAAAAACAAACAACATGTTTGGCAAACTATACGGCCAGACTCCAGAAAGATTGTTTTGGCTTGCACTGTCGGTCCTCAGGATAATGAATCACCACCACCACCATCATCATCACAACCATCATCATCACAGCCATCACCACCACCATCATCATCATCATCAAGATCATCAAGATGATCATCGTCATCGCCATCATCATCACCACCATGACCATGGTCGTTGTTGTCTCCATCATCGCCATCAACATCAGCCGAACAATTATAATGGTGATGACAGTAATAATAACAACAATAATAGCAATAATAATCATCATGTCTTCATCATAGTTGTAGTAATAATAAAAGTAGGGGGCTTAGGAAGTTTGGGGCGTTAAGGGAGCTAAAGGGGACGTAAAGGGTCTGTGGCTGAAGTCGTGGTGACGGTTCAGACCGGAACGTAATTAATTCCACGCCTCCCCCCCTCTCCCCCTTTCCCTAAACCTTAAACACCTTGTGCGCTTGTAGCGCCGTTAGCAAAAATATGCGAAGATAACATGCAAGTACCTCCCTTTTGGGTGGCTGGCTGAGTATTTTCGCACTTTCGAGGTTTTACAAGGCTTGTGCCCTCGTCCTGGAACCTAAATCCGGAGATTAGGACTTTGAGGACCCACACAGCCCCTGAACCAGAGACAAAAAACACTTGTGGGGTTTGTCCTCCTACATGTGCTAAACCCAAGACTCCCAGACCCTGTAGACCGACTTTGCCCAGTGGCGTTTGCGGGCAGGTTTTCAGTCAGCGCTTGGGGAATGGCAATGCAAGACCTGGCTGCATCTTAGCTTCGGGCTGTGGCTTTCAGGTCGAAAAACAAACTATACAATGATGAATGCTCTCCTTCCAGGCTTCCTCTAAGTGAAAACATATTGGCGCGATAAAACCGGCAAGAGGCGACATCTAGAAGGGAGTCTGGCCACAGAGCCGGGCTGATCCCATGAGTTCAACACTGGCCTGATTGCATTGGACCTACGGCGCGTGGTTTCGGCGAGCGCCATTCACTAAGACTAGCAGCAGCAGCAGCAGCAGCAGCAGCAGCAGCAGCAGGAGTAATAGTAGTAGTTGTCGTCGTCGTCGTAGTACTAGTTGTTCTTGTTGTTTTTTGTTGCAAATGCAAATGCAGCAGGAGGAGGAGTTGTTGTTGATGTTGCTGTTGATGTCGATTTTGTCGTAGTAGTGGTTATAGTCGTCGTCGTAGTAGTGGCGCCAATACTGCAGTAGTAGCAGGAGCAGGTGGCAGTGGCGGTGGCAAGGAGGCAGTACTGTAGCAGTGGTAAAGGGCAGGGGTCATAAACGTAGTAGTAGTCGTCGACCTTGCGAAAACTGGAGAATGTGCCGTCTGCTTGCAGCCGGCACAATGCCATCTAGACCCGAGGATTGGTCAGGTCCCACCTGGTCTCATTGTCGACGGCGGTCTTGCTCCTGGGCTGATCTTACCGGAGGATAACGGAAGTTTCACAAGACATCAAAAGCGCTGAAGCCTCTTTGCCAAAGCCCCAAGACATCTGGCATGAAAACCCCTGAAACTTAAAGATATACTTGAATGGTATCATGGTTGCCAACCGCGGGGTTGCTGGGCCAAACCAGCTTAAGCAACTCGGTGGTGAGTGGTTTCGTATCTTCAAGCCTTCAGCCGTTTGACGGACGAGGAATGAAGCGGACTGCCTCTCCAAAGGAGTCTGAAAACCCGAGGTTCTTGTAGGGCTCGCGGATATGTCCACTGGGGCACGTAGGATCCGTGAGAGCATAGGCCAAGACATAGCGGCTCCTGGATTTTGTTAACTCCATTGCTTTTTACGGTGTTTCCAGGGTTTGGGGCTAATGGGCATTCCACTCGGTTATGCTTGCTTCACCACATAATCACTGAACCCAAGCTTCCTTATGCAAAGAAGATGAGACCTACAGCAAGTGAAGCTCAGGAAAGTAAAGAACCTCGAACATGCAGAGTCTGAGGCCTGAGGCTGCATGCTTGCGCGCTTCGCATCTCGTAGCTTCTGCTTCAGCGAAAAGTGCTTGGGGGTTTGGGGAAATATCTTGCAAAGCCAATCGGAGCTTCTCGCTAGCCTCTCTGTGAGGCTTGAAGCCCACTCCGAATTAATCAATTAAAGTACCAGAAAACAAGTGATATATATATACATAATATTCTATATATATATATGTATATATATGTACGATCCATTCTACAGATTTGACTACTGGCAGTTTCGGTCGGGGAATTGTTTGAACGCCGATTCTTGCGATGGTTTCAATGCACGTGCCAGGCAGGGCAGGTCAGAGAGCACGCAAACTACCCATAGGCTCCTAAATAGTTCCTTTGTGTGGTTTATATTTAGAATCCTATAAGGTAACCCCAAAAAGGAGCTACTAAGGAGCCTATGGGTATACCTGTTTGAATTATGTAACTCCAACGGGCCTTCGCAACCATAAGTCATGCTCAAACCTCCAGAAGCCGCCGGACTCAATGGGTGTAGAAAAGCAATTGCAAGCATACCTTCGGTTCGGCCTTGCCACGATGTTGGCTGGACCCAGAGGGCTGCAAGAAACAACTCGTCAGAATTAAAAAAACAGAGCAAACATAGCACCAGCAAAGGCTCTTGATGGCGGTGTAGTCGATGGAATCCTTGAAGCTGGAGTTGTGTACGCTCGCCACGCTCTCCTGAATGTCGGTCAGATCTCTGGTCTCGTCCCGCGACAACGGGTTTTGGGGGGAAGGTCTCCAGACCCACGTAGGCTCTAGGAAGGGCTCAGATTCAGCAAGACCCGCACCACCCACTCTTCGAAAACTTGGCCATGCCTGCAGCCTTCCCTTGCATGTGATCTTCGACCTGCGTGAGGAGCCAAGATGCATTCACGCCAAAGCCGTAGTAGTCGCGAAGGTAGCTGTCCTCGCAGGCGGAGAGCTCAGGTCTCTGGACACACCATCTCAACATCACTGAAGAAGTTATAATCATCTCCTATCATAGTGCTATGGTCACAACGCGCTGTGCTATCCGGGATTTAGGTCTGGCGCGCCCAAAACCATGCCCGGAATCTTCAATGAAATGACCACTACATGCGGGATCAACCCTGCAGACACGCGAAACTACAACAGAATCAATTCGAATGGCCTGCCAATGCGAGGAACATGTCCAGGAATAGCAAACCCGTGACGCCCTACAACTTCGAGTATTCGGTCGAGGGACGTAGTCTTCCCCTGGCGCAGTGCAAGATGGCGTCCATTCGTCCATGCCGGTGTACTTCGGCTGGAGGACGACCGGGGGTGAGTCGGCATGGCCTGGATGATTCAGTGCCAACTTGGAGCTTGCAACACTTTTAGTCTGGACGCTGCTAAATTCATCTTGTGCCACAGTCCTATGTTGCAAACCTGCAGCAGTTGAAACACGGCCAACAAAAGAAAATTTATACCCTGAGCCGGACACACCTAAACCCTAGACCCTGCAATCCCGAAATGTCAATGTTGCTCGTCTCCTCTCCGCAGGTGTTCCAATGAGCCCGGCGCTTTCAGTCAAGCCAAAAGACCTATGTTTTCGGCACATAGGACCCTATAGCCAATATAGGACTCCATAGTCTCAGTCTACTTGTTGGCCCACACCCTGGCCTTTCTTTCATTCTACTCGGCTCAGGTAACCAGACCACGACTTCCAGTCATCTTGACGAAGACCGGAAGAGAACCCTAGACCTTCAAGGGGGTTTAGGCTTTGTCGGTTTAGGCGGTTTAGGGTGAAGACTTCATTAAGCCTCTCCAAGGAACCTCCGGAGAAGCTGAAATCGTGCATCCCGCCACAGAGTGCCAGCGCGGCCGCTTGCCTCGGAAAGCGCGATGAGCTTTGGTGCAACCGACACCCTCACAATGGATGTACAGTCATACCAGCTGAGCCCCAACCAGGCTCCGGAAGATCACCCTTCTGCAACCTAATCCCACACTGGAATAGAACATGCTCAAATCCTCTGGCACCGTCTCGTTGCCTACTTTGTAGGGTTCTTCGAAGCCCAGTCAGGGAAAAAGGGCCGAGGGTTTCCATGCAACAGCTGGGACTATGATGTCCCGTTGTAGATTACATCATCAACCACATGCTCAAGCCGCTACGGAAGGTTGCCACACCGATTGCGCGCACGTGCGCCACTATGCCACCCCATAACCCAAGAGCCCACATACAGCGCACCCTAACCTCGAACCCTCAGCCAGGCCATCTCTCCAAGCTTTTGCCTTTGGCAATGACTCGCCAAGACACAAACCAGAGATCTTAAATTACAGGGTTCCTTTCTCATGTACGGCGAAACTAACCCGGACCAGGTTCACGTTGGCGCTGAAAGGGATCAGGAAGCCGATAACCTTGCTGTGCACAATTGTGCGGGCTGGACACTATAAGCCCGATACTGGACACTGAATCCTGAATCTTGCTCCCATGCATGGCAGACAGCACGAGCAAGTTAGGTGCAGGTTGTGCGCCAGCTGGGTGCAAGGCTGAGGCATCAAAGATTAGAAGACATGGGATGCAAGAGAACACTGCAGAAACAAACGCCATGCTGTGCGGGGCTGAGTTTCTGAAGCGAGACTACCTTTCGTGTCATGCCTCATGGGAACAAATATCAAGTTCTAGATGCACTGCTCTGTGAGACAAATGAGGCTCGACGGAAGGATGTTCATCTGAGAGTTCTCATAATCGCGCCACCCGCTCAGTTTCGACGACATGATGCCGCACGTGGAGTCCATCTCTTTAGAGGGTCTGTTATTCTCTCTTACATTGCGAGTTGCGCAGGAAACATCTTTTCAGACGGCCCAAGCTGCATCCGCCAAGAAGCCGCTGCGAGTACGAAGCCAAGGGTGAGGATGTAGCGAAGCAGATCTTTAACTGAGGCAACAGCCGCACTAACACAAAAGAAGAGTGGAGCTGAAGGAGCTTTCGGTGCGCTTGCCTGTGCAAGCGATGCTAAGCTGGCTCAGAAGCAGTGTTTACCATAGGGGCCTTGAGAAATTGCAGAAACCAATTTGGGGGGGGACGGGGCTCCTTGTTATGTTCTTAAATATAATATGTGACTTTCAAGCATTAGCCAGCGAAGGCCTCTGCTCCTGCGATCCAACCGCAACGAGACTGCGCAGGCCTGGAAAGCCCAGAATGAGCTTGTTGTCGCCGCATTCCAGGGGCTTGATCCTGTCGTTCAAGCAAAAAGCCACGAGCAGGCATAAGAATCCATTTCAGGGCCTGAGATTGGACCAGCAGGTTGAGGCAAGTATTGACCGCAAGCTGAGGGGGACTGATGACTTGGGCATGAGCTGTGAGCAGTACCAGCGCTTGTTGCCAGCGAGTGGACAAGCCAAGTCACTGCACACGAGGAGTGAACCTTGAACGTTCCATGATGTTGCAAGTTTGTCACGAAGAGCAACTCGAAAATAGGGACACCGCTGCCGGTGTCGCCCAGAGCAGCACTGGAAATGTTGGAGTTCACTGACGCGAACGAGCGAGCAACCTCTAGCCCACTTCGCAAATACATCCCACGGTATAACAGATTGAAACCCAAACATAGCGACAGGCGCCAAAGCGCGGAAGTTTCAGTCTATCAAGAAACCAGATTCTACAACCAGTCAAACGACTGAAGCGGGCAACACATCCCGCAATCCTGGGCAGCGTCATGCGTATCCTTTCTGTGAAGAGTACCTGCCGCATCGGGCACACACACAATGGATGCAAAACGTCCTGCCCTGAACGCTTTGCTCAAAACAACTACCACCTTTATAGAATGTAGCTTTTACCTGTTGTGCTTTGAACATCATTAGCCCTTACGTTATATCGGTGATTCCCGTGCCATCAAGCGCAAACGATGCAGCCCTACACCTCACAAAGTGTCTTGACTGATCTTGCATTTTCGGGTTTCACTACGAGTCCTGAAAAAATTGTTTCGAGCAGTATTGACTATAGGATAGCCCATGTAGTATAGTAAAAGTATTGGCAGTCGCAGTCGCCGTCGCGGTCTTATTCGCCCAACGGTAGTAGTAGTAGCAGTAGTAGCTGTAGCAGCAGCAGCAGCAGTAGCAGTAGCAGTAGCAGTAGCAGTAGCAGTAGCAGTAGGAGTAGGAGTAGGAGTAGGAGTAGGAGTAGGAGTAGGATTAGTAGCAGTAGCAGCAGCAGCAGCAGCAGCAGCAGCAGTAGTAAGTAGTAGTAGTAGTAGTAGTAGTAGTAGTAGTAGTAGTAGTAGTAGTGATAGGAGCAGCAGCAGCAGCAGCAGCGGCAACAGGAACAGCAACAGGTAACACGGGTTATTGTTGTTGTTGTTGTTGCTGCTGCTGCTGCTGTCGTCGATGTTGCTGTGGTTATGTTGGTATCCTTTAAGACTTGCAAGGTTTCTTAAGTTTTGGCTTTTCTTGTGCTCAGTGCGGAAGTTGTTGGATTCGGAAAAGAGCATTCTCTAACTTCCAGAGGATGTGCGCGGACTGAGGCTTCCGGCCGGGTTCAGGACAAGAAACCATCGGCACATAGATACATTAGTTGCCGTGCACAGCAGGCACCCCTCGTACTACTTGCCACTTTCCATGAGCGCGTCCCTGGAGTCTTCTACCTCCCTAAACGCTAAACTCCCTTGGCAATCCCAAAGGTGCAGTAGGCCTGTGCAAGCAACTCGTCGACATCCAAGACAAAAGCCAGCCTCGGCTTCCGAATATTATAATGAGGTTTAGGGTTTCGGGCGGATGTTCTTTTTCCTTACCATCATCAAAACCTTCTACAGAAACACCAACATCTCCTCAGGTAGCAAGTTTATCCGATGGCCATGCAGAAAACATTGACTGCACAGTGCTTCGTCTACTACTACACTGAGCAGTTGCAAGCCTCCGCAGGCCGTTTTGCTGGAATTGCAAGGTTACTTCTGCGAGGCATTTGGACGCATTGTTGAAGCCTTAGACATCTGGCCGATCCTCTACGAATTCCTGAGCTGCTTTACCCCGATGCATGCATCGGGGCTGCCGAAGGCTTCGATGCTGTACGGGCACAGAAGCCGAGGGACGCCACGGCATTGAGCACGATGTCGTGCAACGAAGCCGTCTGTGCCAGGTATTGGCAGCCAACCTCGGTTGAACAGTCTGGCAAGTCTAGTTCCAATTCTTTCTAACTGCCGGGTCTGAGTCGATGGCCGGGTTCGTTGCTAGACTTGGTTTCGGTGAAATGCTGCTTCCCGTCCTCCAGCCCCTGTATGAGTGCATGAAGCTTGCAAGACCTTGCTTGGGGGCAACCTGACCAAAAGTTCACGTAGGGTTTGGGGCTAAAGTTTCGGTTAAAACCATAAACCTCGAGGTTTACGCGTTTCGGGCAAAGCGTGGTGTCAGAGTTTTCGCTCCTGGCAGCAGCGTGCACCTAGGACCTAGGGCTCTCGGAAACACCAGAAAAATCCGATGGAATCCGTAATGTTAAGTATAGGGCCGGAGAAATCAGTGCATAACCACATACGGCCCCAAACAGCACTGCGTCAGCATCAGCTGTTGAAGTGAACCGCAAAACATATAGGTGATATAGGGCCCCTAGTGATTTCAGTAGGGGTGCTGTAGTATAGTTATAAGGACTACAAGGGAGAAGAACTGCTTGCTACTTCGAGCTCTATTATCGTGGAGCCCTGTGTGCACCAAAGGATGGAGGTCGTGCTCCCAGGTAACTATTGGAAGTGCCGTCGAGATGGTCGTGCTTTGCATCCAAGGATATAGCATGCAAACGGCATTCGTTCCGAGGGGAGTCACGCGATCAAGGGGTGTAAGATGAAAAGGGTTAGTGGTTTAGGAGCAATGGGTGACCATTGGCTGAATTGGCTGGGATCTGCGAATTCTGCTGAAGCAAGTCAGCACAAGCAGAGCTCTCGACATTTTATTGCCCAAATGAAAGCAGATGCAAGCACGGAATCTCTCCACTCTAACTGGCACTCTAAGATCGCATCCCAACCTTAAGCTTCAAAATCCCAAATCAGTGCACGGCGCCAGAGGTTCACACCAAAGAAACATCAGCCAAGTGGCAAGGCAGAGACAAATGGTGACAAACAGCCGCGGTATGATCAGTGTGGCAAAAGCCAAGAAGCCTCAGTAGGCTCTGCTCCAAAGTGGGACAAAACCCACCCACAGCCTGAACCCATGCGAGCTGCATTGCAGACTCTGCAGACACTGACGGTTTTTACAGGGCTGCGTTTCAAGGCTTGGTGCATGTCAGGGCTGTCTGCTTCGATGGCCTGCCGCTGAACAACCCGTATGTAGTCTTCGCCAGGGTCGACTCGAAATAGAGGGTCCAAGGGGTCTAGGCTATGTATCGTCTTGCGATTGGCAAAGCATCGAGCTGGATGCTCAAGGAAACTAGGAACCCTGCGTCTCAACCCTGGTGTCTTGAAGCATGCATCGCTAATTAGACAAGGCTCGAAGAACTTTGTAGATTCCGAGAATCTCATCTTGTTCACCATCTTCCGTAATCAGCACGGCAGGGTCGCCTCCCAAAAACTGGAACGAAAGCGACGTCATGGAGGAGCACGGATGACCCGCCAGTACTCTGAATGCAACGTACTGAGCCCTTTTTCCACCCCTACGCCCTTAAAACTTAAGCCCCAGAAACAAATCCGTGAACCCCAACCTAAAGGCTTCGAGGCCTGAAGCCGCGCATTTCTAGTCGTGCGAAGCAAAATCCTTGCCCGAAACCGACATGGCCTGCTTGGCCAGCAAATGATGAACATTCACATTACTTCGGAGATTAGTACTGTCGAAATCATTAATAAATACTAATGCTACTATAGTTTCTGGGATTATGCTTATAGTTTCGAGTTCAAGTTTGGGGTATAAGTTATATAGGGTTCTTCGTCAAGCTGGCAGGTGAATTCGACAAAACCGAGCCCACACCCTGACTTTTGTCATTGTCAGGACTCACCAAGACATTCTACATGGTTTGTTGCGGGCGCCAAATTTGGTAATTTGCAGTTCTCAGACCCACGATACCAGACTCTTGATTCCAAGAAGCCCCCACCCCCCCCCCTCCCCCCCCCNNCCATCATGGTCAGGACCCACCTAGGTTGGACGGTCTTTGGCTGATGGGTCTTGAGGGAACCGTTGAACTTCAGCCTTGAAGGAAAAGCCCTGCCCTGGTCAGTTGTAAGAAGACTCCGGGTCCTGAGGTTTGGACCGTATGGGCTCTGGTTGTGTGGTGCCCCATGCATGTTGCGGGCCATCGTGTGGTGTCGTGCATCGCCAAGCTCTTGACATCAGCCAAGTGGCATGATGATGGCCAGAACACTAAG